TTGCGGGTATTCGGTAGAGCCCTGCTTCTTTGCCTATGTGGTTTGTGATTTGCTTGATGGCATTTTATTTTATTCTCCTTCATGATTGCAGTTATTCATACTTGGCTTGAGGTCGAGATGAGCTTGTGGAGGCTGATGCCCCACACACATTTCCTCCCTCACTTGCATTGCATGCATTTTATAATCGTTTACTATTTACTGTTTAAGCTGATGCCTTATCTGTTTCTGTTTATCATTGACATGATCCCCTAGGAATCTCACTCCCTTTGATAAGGAAGTGATGATTAGAACTTTAGGTTGAAACTTATGCATGATAACTTCTAGGAGTTCCCTATTTCAAACCTCAACCCTAGGATGAATCCTTGGCATGACAACAGTAGGACTTGATAATCTCCCCGTAGTTGTCCCTCTCTCTTCTCATCTCAAAACAACAGGAAAAAAAAACGTAATAAAGGCAAGTTGGTATAAGCGCGATACGAGCCTTAAGCTACTTGGGTAATGATAATTGAGCGGCCTCCTCTCAATCGTCTAGAATGTTTAGTATACGTCCTTTGGACGATATGCGACGCATTCGTTCCCAGGTATAGTCTCTAGTGCTGTACGAGCTACAGACAAATTAAAAAACAGTTCTTTCGTAAAAGACAGAAAACGAACTTCAAACCTTTTTGCCCCGTGGGCCCATAATTCAAAGGAAGCTTTTCTGAAGAAAAGAGTGTCGTTAACTCCCAGTCCTACCGCAAACGGTAACGCCTGAGTCTCCAAAGGTCGAGTTGCGTACATCCAACTGCTGGAACTGTTTGTTAACCCTACTCGATAAAACAAATGAATCTGAATTCCCGTAATCCGTATTATCCCAAACTACGTAAGCTCTGATCTCTCATACCTGTTGAGAGTACGTAGGCACAATAATGACGTATTGGCGAGCCACCTTCCCCCGTACCCCGTAGTTAGGCGAACTACGTTGACTCTGATTTCTCATTCTCTCATGAGAATACGTAGGCATAAAGTGCGACGCTTTGCCGAGTCATTTTCTTTTCCTTTTAGACCAGCCTTGATAGGTAGATAGAATAAACAACCCGTCAGATAAACACAACAAGCGTGGATCCCATCGAGTACGTTGGACGTGAGAGGTGTTAATACCTTCCCCTTGCGTAACCGACTCCCGAACCCAGACAATGGTTGCGATGACCTTGTCTTATACCCTTTCGTCAGGTTTTTCCGATCGTTTCCTTTCCCATTCCGAGGGATAAATAACGAAAGGTGACGACTCTTCTGTTTTGCCGGCACCTTATTTTCGCGGAAGCGACAGCTGGTGACTCTGCTGGGGACTTGATAGTTTTCTGGGATCCAACGTCCCTTATGCGAGTCAATTTGGGGATCCAACCTCCCCTGCGAGAGTCAATCCTAGCGCTTGTATATTTACTTGTTGGGTTGTGTTATCGCATTTTATTTCCCGCACTTTATTTTCAGTATGATATGATTATTTGTACTGTTGTGGGAGGGGCATTCTGATGAGTGAGAAGCCAGACCCAGGCTTGAGAGCTACATAGTATTAGAGTGGGTTAGTGGAGGACGTGCTTGCTTTGCTTGCATCTGTTCCCATGTAATCCACACTCAGACGAGGTTCTCTTTGATGGCTTCCTATCGGTCCTTTGGACTCGAGGGGTTGTTGGATCTGAGGATTGTCGACTCTGGGAACCGATCATTTGGAATTCAGCTAAGTGAGGCCGCTTCAAGAGATTATGATGCCACACCTCCTGGGTATCGTATCGTCATTTCTTGAAAGTCTGTGACGCTGATGAACGCATAGGATACCAAACCTTTTCCGTGATTAGGTCCATACCTGTGAGCAGGGTCGGGTGTGATGCAGGAAACCTTAACCTTCAGACTACCTGGTTTTCTTGACAGTAAATCAGTTTTGTGGGTATCAGAGGTTCTCATCATCAGATATGTGTGTTCTTGACAGAACAGATTTATGGTCTGGTATCAAGGGTTTCTTCTCATCAGAGATATGTTTGTTCTTGACAAGAGCAGTGTTGTGGTTTTGTTGATACAGAACCTTCATCTCCTCAACAGCCCAGTCGTCCTGATCTCCTGCTGCATGATTGCATTTTGCATTGTTTGCATCCTCATTTGCATGTCATTAACGTGTGTCTGTGTTGCAGGTGCATATTTCTCCCCTGGTTCTAGTGATCTTGATCCTCATGGCAGATATGACATCTCTGAAGAAGATTGTGGCTTACAAGCTACCAACACCTGACATCCGAGAATTGCGAGCTTTGATTTCTTTGCCTGATAAGACAATGATGGAGAGTTTCAAAAAGAGTTATGGGAGACTTCTGGGTATTGTGTATAAGCTTTCTACGTACGAGTTGAATGGCCTCTACGCCCTGCTACAATTTTACGACCCACAGCTCAGATGCTTTGTGTTTCCAGACTATGTTCTAGCTCCGACACTAGAGGAGTACTCTGACCTATTGCGGGTGCCTTTGATGAATCAAATGCCTTATTACCGTGTTGAGGGTGAACCCAAATTGAGTAAGTTGACTGACGCTCTTCATGTAGATGAGTCTGAGTTGGAAGGGATGGTATCCAGAAATATCGGAGTTCATGGTTTCCCTTTGCCTTTCCTGATGGAAAAAGCCCGAAAATTTGCCGAGAAGGGTCGCTGGGATGTGTTCAATGCCTTCTTAGCCCTTTGTATCTATGGGATCGTGCTATTCCCAAGTCATCCGGACTTCATAAACATGGATGCTTGCCATATATTTGCCTCCGGGAATCCGGTGCCCACTCTCCTTGGAGACGTCTACCATTTAGTTCACAACAAGAATGAAAACAGAAAGGGGAAGAACGTGGCATGTTCTGTCCAAGTCTGGGACCGTTCGCTACCAGCTCGCTGCTGGCTCGCTTAGCGAATAACTCGCTACCCTGCTTGCCTAGCGAAGGTGCTAGCGAGCGTCTGCGATGTTCAAAACCCTCAACTGTCCAAAATGTCCAAAACTCCATAAAATCTCCCAATTCAATTCCAACAAGTTTCCATAGTCTCAGCCTAACAATCTTCGACTAAACTATACCATTTAATCCAACTTCTAACCGTTCAAACATCGATTCTATCGATTAAACCCATTCTTGCTCTAAAATAGAAAAAGATGGAAAACATCCAAATACACACATACATAATCATATACATTGGTAAGATAATAACATTTCACACCCCTTACCCGATTAATCGAACTCTAGAGATTGTTCTTGATGATTTTGAGCTATCCAAGCTTTTCCTCTATTTTCTCCTCTTCTCTCTTCTTTCTTATTTCTTTCTCTTCTTTTTCCTTTCTCTCTATTTCTATCCTTTTCTTTTCTCTCTTCCACTTATATCTCTTTCTATTCTATTTCTCTCCAAACATCTACTAACCCATTTCTCACAAAATATCTCAACTTATCATTAAATACTTAATGTCTAAAATACCCTCCAATCTATTTTCCCTGAAAACTCTCAAAATCGGTAAAATAACATAATATACAAACATAACATATTAACTCATAAATTTTACAATTAAAATAATAATCACCCAAATCAATTAATTAATATAAATAGTTAATTATTAAAAATTGAGCTGTTACAGTTCCCATGTATACTATATAGATATTTCCAAAATGGCCTTAGAATTTGGCTTATTCTTTGGCCCTCTGACTGACCCAAAGCATATATAATTTTTTTTTTGATATTTAAAAATTGATCCACAATAAACCATATTAAATTGGATCATATCAGGTTGGATATTTTAGCCAATAATAAAAATCTAAACTGTGGATCACAATGCCACCATGAACACCAATAATCATTGGTGTTACTTGAATTAATAAAATATAAATGTTGTTCACTACACCCTATGAAAACTCGAAAAAACCATTTGTAGCGAAGATTAAAATTTGAACACACACATTTTATAACAAGATCAGTTCATTAAAGAGACACTTCATTTATAACTTTTATTTTAAGCGATTTTGAGACTGAGTTTGATGTGGTATCTTAAGTCACGTTCAAATTTTAATTTACTTATTTTGTTGATATGAATTTCAAAATCCAAAGACATATTTATCTATCATTCGACTTGTTTTTAAAGAAACCTTGTTGTATATAGAGCACATCTAGATTGTAAAATTTGAAATTTAAAATTTTGTTTGAGAGTTTAGAAAAGTGGTAATGAGAAGAGTTCGAAAAACATTTTCTTTAAATAGATAAATCTTCAAATTTTTTTGATTTTTTATATGAAATAATAATACTTATTGTTAACCTATTTTAAAATTTTGAAGTATGATAACAACATAAATTATATTTGAATAAATTCTCTAAATCCTCCAAACCTCTCAAATACAAATTTATACATTCCAAAATTAGAGAATTTTAACTTTTAAATAAAAATAAATTCTCTAAAACCTTGTTCATCTAAATTTCTTATATCCTTTTCATTCAATATATATTTTTTAAAGCCCTCTCCTCCGTTCTACTTCAAACTTGTTAAAAAAATGTAAAGGCATTTTTAAATTCTGCCTAGAGTGAATAAATCATAATGATGGCGTGTATTGAAAATAAAAAGTACCAAAAGATATAGAAATTTATTATGCATACGAAATGTAGTCAAAACGGTAGGGTGCAAATAGCAATCCTGTAGAAACAGAAGAAAAGTAAAAACAGCTGGAAACGTCAAAACGTAACACAGCACCCGAGTGTCCGCCTGACCCCCTCTCTCTCTCTCTCTCTCACCGCACGACAACAACTCCTCATACAACAACAGAAACAAACACTTTTCTTTCTTTCCTAATCCAATGGAAGCACGCGAGCGAATAATAATCACGTGCGCCTCGCATGCCCTAAATGTATCCTCACTCCTACACCACCTTTCTCTTCCTTCCCCTCAATCAAACAAACAACATTGCTTCCTCCATAATAAAACCAAACCCTAACCCTCGCTTCTTCTTCGTTCCTTCCGTTTCCATCCATGGCCAAGAAGAGAAAATCCATAGCCACCACACTCGACGAAGTCGATCGAACCATGTACGCTTCGTTTTGTACCGCTGCTAATTCTCTCTCCCTGCTTCACATGCATGCCCTCAATCACCAGAAACTCTCCTTCCAAGCTGGTCAACGACATAGCCTCGTAAATCACTTCTTCATTATTCGATTATGCTTTTGATTCTTTATCATTGTTTATTATTTCATCTGTTTTATTTATGAAAACCTCGATTTGCTCTTTTTTTTTTTGCCTTTTAATTTTCTATGCGCAATGCTTCTTCCTAATTGCTGGAGAAAACACTGCTGTTGAGTATCAGAAACTAAACAAGATCAATTTTTTACCGGTGCTTCTTAACTTGAACAACCTTTAAGTTTAAGGTTTTGGCTCTGTTACATGTCCACCAATAACTCCTTTTGAGATTCAGGCCCTTTTTGGATAAACAGTCTAGAGCCGGTTTGAATCAGCTTATTTGAGCTTATCTACTCGCATAAGTTTTGCGAGGGTATCGGGGAGAATTTATGAAAACAGATTATTTTATAAAACTAACTTATGTAAGCTTATTTTAATAGGAATTTATGCTCTAAGATGCAAATAAGTTGGTTATCCAAACAGACCCTTAATCAAACCCTCATACCACAAGCTCTAATTATATAAGTGCTTATGTATAAGCTACTTGTATAGCGTTGTCACAAGCTGAAAATAGCTTACTAACATGTCAAAAGTTGTTTCCATAAACTCTCTCGAACCGGCTTACAAGTGTTTATGCTAATAGATAACTCAAATAATTCAATCTAAACCGATCCTGAAACTGACTATAGGGAATGCTTACATTGATTAAATAGCCCGTGGAGGGAGGTGTTATGAAAAGCTAACCCATTAAGGAATCTATTTTTTAGGGGCTTTTAGCTTGGGGTGGAAACGAGCTCACGCAGCATATAAATATTAACTGGAACATAGCTTAAAGCTCTTTAGATCTTGGACAGTTAACTATATGAAATATGTAATACAGTAGTCTGTCACACACTGTCTTTGCTCTTATTTTTTGAGGTTTAAGCACTATGTTGGCATTTCGTTAATGTTGGATGTTTTTCTGATTTCAGGAAAAACTTTATCAGTGGATCTGGCGACAGCAAGAGGGTGGATCGAGAGTTGCAACGCTTGATATACTTAACTACATTCAGGTTGGTTTTATCACCGTTCTCTGTTTTGCACACAATATATCATCTTTTATAATTTCATATATGCTTCTGCTGAACGGTAATTGCCAAGTGGGAACTGCATGTGGCAAGGCAATCAAACCAGAACACTTAGGTAACATTTGGCATGCAGATGGAATGATTCATTAAACTTTTGTCCTGCTTTTATTAATGTGTCAAACACATAACATAACCCATATGTTATGTTCCAGCCAATTCTACCTTGTCTACCAAATGCTACCTTAGAATGGGAGAGAGGGGCGTGGGATGGACTATATCAGTAGCAGTTAGTGACAATGAACATGCATAAGTTTCATATACCAAGCTGTAGCTTTATTGCAATAGCAGGCTGTTGACTTAATCCTGGGCTGTTTTTTGTTGAGATTATTTTAAATATAAAACATTCAACTGTTTTGATGCTTGCTCAATTAGGGTGTTTGGGTAAACACCAAAATCACGTTCTTCTATTCAAGTTCTTCTATACACTTATAAAAGTGCTTATATCTTGAAATAAGCCCAAACAAGCTCTTTCAAAGACTTCTTTAATCAGTTGCATTTTTGTTGCATTGACAGGACCTTTAACACAACCTTTTGTTTTGTCACCTTCCATCTCCTGCATACAGATCATTTATCCCACTTATAATTCAAGTGGGATAAAGCCATTTTGATTTGTCTGATGGATATTGCCTCTCTGTGGTCCTGCCTTTGTTTCATGTTTTATTTTCTAGAATTATAGAATAGGTGGCATTCATTTATATAATTGCCAGTTTAAATTTTGTGGAAACAAGTGTTTGGAATTTTTTACAATCCATTCACACCACAAAATTTTAGAAGTTACAAAGTTATCTAGGGAATTGTTAACGACTAAAGAATGGTAGACAAGGCAAATTGCCAGTATTTTCTTTTGCATGATTAAGATTTGTGGGAAGGACGACTCTCCACAAATTAAATTGGTGAATATGATTTTTTTAACGTCATTATTCTTATTGTGGATGTATTGAAATTTATCTTGAAGTTATGTTCCGTAGTTGTAAAGATGGTGGCTGGGTGTGATAGAAAAGATAAGGAAGTGTTATTTTTTTTATTTTTTGTCATTTTAAAGATCTGCAGGGTTGACAATTACCCCAAAATAATAAGTAATTATGATCCTGAGATATTAAAAAAATGGCGAAAATGTAGTAGATGTTTGGTTGCATTAGGATGCCTTTATGTTTTTATTGGTTACAATGTTGATCTCCAAATTTCTCTACCTGTAGATGTTTGGTTGCATTAGGATGCCTTTATGTTTTTATCGGTTACAATGTTGATCTCCAGGAGTTTATTTCTCTTCCTGCAGAATGAACTGGATTGTTTTGGAGAGGAGCAATCCATTTCGCCTAGAGCAGCACCACAACCAGTAACACAAGTAGCTAGTTCTGGCTCTACAGTAACACCTGGTTCTTCGTGCCAAACAGTTGTTGGACAGGGACTCGGGTCGGAGCACTGTGATAATCAATCCAAGAGTTTTGAATTTTCAAATGCTTTGCCAAGTCCTGTTCGTCGAAGTCTTCAGCATTATCAAGTTGGTGAGGGAGGGAGCTACCTTAGCGGTCCCTCCACAGGTAATGGAAACCAGAACACTGAATCCATCTTTTTTCACCATCAAAGCAGGGACTCTACTGCATTTAGTTCCAACGATTCTGCCATGGACATGCATGCAGAGTAATCCTACCTATTGGTTTATGTACCAAACACTTTTGTTTGACCATCCTTTGACATTACTTGCAAAAGAAGTAAACAACCATTTGAAATCTTTTATCTGGTTTTGCCCGTGTCCTACAAGAAATAGCAGCAAGGTGAAACCAGATCAACTAATCTATTATTATACTAATGGCATCCGAGTGGTTTGCTTGAATGTTAAATGTTCTTTGTAAAGTTCTTTTAGATAGTTTAAAAGCATTTCAGTTTGTCCCTTCATTCTCTCCCCACACCCCTCTTTATCAAAAACAACTATATCAATTATTGGGTTGCTTCTATCTGAAGTTCCCTATGTAAATCTCTACTTTATTTTAGTAGTTTTTATCATCATAAGGAATGGAGTGTCCCATCGGCTCGCAATTCATATTGTTTATAGGATAACAATGTTTCTTCATGGTGATGCAATGGTCGCTAGAAAACAATTAGAAAGAAAGAAAAGAATCTACACTTGAAACCATAAAAGGTAAAGCATAGTATTTGTAGGAGGGGCAAGGAAGGATGGGAAGAAAGGTGTGCAAGTAATTGGAAATAGCAATTTGAAAGGATGATAAAGAATTGGAATTCCTTATATTATTGTGCTTGAGTGATGGAGTAGGTATATTAGATTCAGCATACTTGAAGCTAAAGGTTAAAATTGTGTCCATGTATAGAATTGCCACATTAAGGACTCTCCACTAGGTGCCATGTTATGGCTACAGCCAGTGTCCCAAAATTCCTTGTGCCTACAGAATTCCATACAGAAATGTGAATATGAGCTATGCACAAATTGAGAAATGAATTTCAATACAAATTTTGACACAAACGTTATATATTAATTAAGTTTCCGAGTATTGCATTGTTTGTTTATTTCTTCTGGGGCGTTTGTTTTCTCATTTTGGGTTTGGTGTCAACACTTGATGAAATTCTTTTTCCACTTCTAAATCTCTTGGAAATTCTTCATTTTGACAAATATACAATTAATTCATAAACATACATAATAACTATAAATACTCCATTAAGTAAGATAGAATTTAACATATCACACGCCAAACACCAAAGAATAATTAAAAACATTAAATATAAACAAGATATTTGATAAGATGAATTAGATATTTGATTCAAATTATATATTTTGAATCCAAATGGCACCTCTCATAATGGTTTTAGAGTCTATAATTCGAAACTGTCTTTTTACAGCATTCGAGTTCATGTTTTCATAATAACACCTTTAAGTTAAACTAGCATAAATAATAACATAAAATAACATACAAATATGATGATAATTTAACAAAAAATAAAAAAATATGATAATGTCATATACAAAATACAACCTAATTCACAACTAAATGATTCTAAAAAGAATACATTCTAATAACGTTTCACACAAGAACTATTGATCACCCTCTTCATCTGCATGACATTCTTGACTTCTTTAAAAATCTCATTAATAATAGTGCAGACATCAATCCCTCTTGTATAGTTCTGTTAAAATTAATGTGTTATAACTACCACTATCTTTAGTAAGTATTATGAGAGAATTGTAACCGTCATATTATAATTATTGTCCTTATTTAAATTTATGGTAGAGTTGTATCATTAAGATTGAGAGAACAAAGAGTCCTCATCTTGATTACCAACTTATTGTATTCTCTGTCAATTTCCTTCGGGCCTATATAAAAACTTTGTAATGCTAAGTTGTGAGCAGAGAAAAAGAGTGTGTGGTGAATTCAATAAAATCAGAGTATTTCAAAGTCTAACCTCCACCGGTGGAAGTTCAGTGAAAAACGTGACTTAAAAATATTTTCATACTCTAAATTCTGCAACAATATATTTTATCACATACCACCTCTAGAATACCATCAACAGTGTGGTATCAGAGCATCTTCCTTCAATCTCACGTAACTGCTTATCTTTTACTTGAATAGTGTTGGTAAAATTGGACACGAGTGAATCTTGCTTCCGAGCTTCTTCTTTCATACGTTCTGGTATGGTTTTGACATCGACATAGTTTCGCATATATTCCCTAACAGTATGGTTTTTGTACTCATATGCTCAGACAACCTATCCATAAAGACTTGACGTATGCTTGATATTAGAAAGTCAATCCTTTTTCGCACAGTGTTCTAATGCATATGCTTTTTCAAATTTAAGTACATTATATAAGCCGACCCAATTTTTATTGAATTCCAAAACAACAAATCCAGCGTGACCATTCTTATTCCAACAAGGATGGACTCATACCAGATTGAAACCCCTACTTTTGTACTCATCTCTAATCTTGGAACCACTATCCCCAACTTTTTCCCCATCTTCTAGTCTAGTTGGAATATTAACTATTATTCCCATCCAAGGCCACACAAACTGCTCATCAGAATCAATAGGAGCGTCACTTTTATCAACATCCGATTCCGTTGAAGCATCAATATTCATAAGATCTTTTTCCAAATATTTCACTAAAGCCAAATGAGTAGGATTTTCCCTTGGCTTTCTCTTTTGTGAACTACTCTGACCCACCCCAGAAGCATGTTTCAAGAGTTCCGTATACAAATAGTCTCATTTTTTTTATTAGGACAATATGGACAAGTAAACTTCTCATCCGAGGTCTTCAATTTTTGATTTCCATTTTTCAGTTCTTCATAATATATTTCTTCTTGCAACAGAACCAAACATTCACTTCTTTGTTTCTAATAATCTTTCCACATTTTTCTGTGCTATAATGTCTCACAGTTCTGAGGAGGATATTGATATCACTGATTCTAAAATCAGTGAGTACGAAGAAATATATTATGAAGAACTGAAAAATGGAAATCGAAAACTGAAAACCTCGGATGAGAAGTTTACTTGTCCATACTGTTCTAATAAAAGAAAATGAGACTATTGGTATACAAAACTCTTGCAACATGCTTCTAGGGTGGGTCAGAGTAGTTCATAAAAGAGAAATCCAAGAGAAAAGTCTACTCATTTGGCTTTAGTGAAATATTTAGAAAATGATCTTATGAATATAGATACTCCAACAAAACCAGTTGTTGATAAAAGTGACACTCCTATTGATTCTGTTGAGCAGTTTGTGTGGCCTTGGATGGGAATAATATATGATATTCTAACTAGACTAGAAGATGGGAAAAAGTTAGGTATAGTGGTTCCAAGATTAGAGATGAGTACAAAAGTAGGGGTTTCAATCCGGTACGAGTCCATCCTTGTTGGAATAAGAATGGTCACACTGGATTTGCTGTTGTGGAATTCAATAAAAATCGGGCCAACTTATATAACGCACTTACATTTGAAAAAGCATATGCATTAGAACACTGTGGGAAAAAGGAATGGCTTTCTAATACCGGGCAGACGTCAGGTCTTTATGGATGGGTTGGCTAAGCAGATGACTACAGAGTGAACCATACCATTAGGGAATATCTGTGAAATAATGCCAATGTCAAAACCATACCGAAATGTATGAAAGGAGAAGCTCGGAAGCAAGATTCACTCGTGTCCAGTTTGACCAACACTATTCAAGTAAAAGATAAGCAGTTACATGAGATTGAAGCAAGATGCTCCAATCTTTTGACACTCATTCAGTTTTATAATGAAGAGATAAAGAAACTAGAGACAACAAATCAACTATTGCCATGACAAAGAGTCTAGTTTTTCATAATCGTACCAGACACATCAACATAAAGCACCACTTCATTCGAAGTGTGATTGGAAAAGGAGATGTGCAGTTAGCTTTCTACAGTTCACAAGAGCAGCCTACAGACATTTTTTTTGCTAAAATACTACCAAGAGGAAGATTTCAGTAACTTAGAGAAGCAATGAGAGTTAAAGAACAACACATTAAATAGGGGTGTTAAAATTAATGTGTTGTAACCACCACTATCTTTAGTAAGCATTATGAGAGAATTGTAACCATCACATTATAATTATTGTCTTTACTTATATTTATGGTAGAGTTGTATCATTAAGATTGAGAGAACCAAAAAGTTCTCATCTTGATTACCAACTTATTATATTCTCTGTCAGTTTCCTTCAAGCCTATATAAAGGCTTTGTAATCTAAGTTGTGAGAAAATAAAAAGAGTGTGTGGCGAGTTCAATAAAATCATAGTATTTCAAAGCCTAACCTCCTCTAGTGGAAGTTTAGTGAAAAAGGTGACTTAAAAAGATTTTCTTACTCTAAATGTTGCAACAATATATTTTATCACATAACACCTCTAGAATACCACCAGCAAGTTCCATGAGATAGTAAATCAGTGTTTAAACCTAAGATGTACACGAACGCATATACCAAATCATCTGCAATGCCACAATTATTTACTACTTCCTCTTTCTCCTCCTTTACAAAGGACATTTCCTCAACTTTTATATGTGGTCGTCTTCCTGTGTGATTATCAAGTTTGAATGTAATGTCTTATAATATTATCTCATGTATCTTTGTACAGTTTCTCAGTAATGTAAGATATGTGCACCTCAGTCCTCAGTAGACAAAATATGATTCACGTACTCAACTTAACTTTTGATCAATATGAGCTGAAGTGATTATCAGAAGAGTAAAGATGATAAGATGTTTGAGAATATCCTACATGTACATTAATTGGAACAAGACTCTCTTAGAAAGGTATCAACCCTTACGTAATCCATATTTCATCCATCCTAAATAGAAGTATATGTCATCTAATGAGCATGTTTCTCAGCGAGAGGCGTAGTTCTCGAATAACACATCATACACCAATAGTAAATCTAGATGTTATTGATATGGATATGTAGTAAGATGTATTTTTTCCAAAATAAAGAAGTTGACATGGGGCTTGCTCTTTACTTACTCCTGTCTAGTAATACCTAAAAAATGGTAATAGATCCATGCTTGAATCAACATATATTAATTAGTAAACAACATTAAATAAAATATTTATAAAAGTTAATAAATAATTATATGAATATGTTACTTGAAGCAGTTTCATATATCACATTATTTACTTCGTTCTAATCTTCGTCGTAG